AAAAATCGAGTTGTCTGCAGGCAGATGCCTTCTGTGGACAAGCCATTGCCTACCGATGGCAGGCTAGCGCCGCAGCCAAGTTGAAACGCCAGGCGTGGATTGTCGAAACTGGAGCAGCCCGCGAAGCCTGTTACGACAAGACACGGTCTGGCGTACACCTACCTTGTGATAGCCACCCAGGTATGCGCGGCGCAAACGGGAACCGACCCGAAGGCCGCCCGGCTACACGGACGGCGGCACAAAGGAAGACCCCGGCGCACTTCAAGGACTACGTCCGCAGCCTCCGGAAATGGAAGCAAGATCTTCGATGGAAGATACGCGAAAGGACGACAAACTAGTCTCCCTACTGATTGGCTGAGCGATAGCGAAGCCTGTTGCTTCAGTGGGATTGAAAAGTTTTTCATGTCTGTCTGTCTGTGTGTCTGTGTGCACTACTCCTCCTGAATGGCTCGACCGATCTGGCTAAGATTTTGCAGACTTTTTGGGTATGTCCTTCGCTCGGCACATGCGAAATTTCACTATCCTAGCTCAACTGGTTCAGTTTTTATAGCCGAAAAACAGCTAAAAAACAGCGAAAAATCGAGTTTTCTGCCGGCAAATGCCTTCTTCCTTGAAGAAAGGGGGGTCTGGGGGGCTCGGCCCCCCAGCCTCGCCAAGTTAAAAAGTAACAAGGGTCAAGATCGTGTTATCTGAAGATGAAGCAACTCTATCTGGAATGAAGGGGGGTCTGGGGGCGGAGCCCCCCAGCGTGCAATAAAGGCAGGCTAGCGCCGCAGGCCAAGGTAGGTTCGCCAGGCGCGAGTTGGAGGAACAAGCAGCGAGACATCGCGAAGCCTGTTACGACAAGACGCGGTCTGGCGTAAACCTACCTTGTTATTACTAGACAGCTACCCTACTGGATATGACAATGGATACTCTCCTATTAATGTTGTATAAAGGATATTCTTCTATTATTTGAAAAATAAAAAATTGCCAATCTAATACTGGGCTGGTAGGCCCACTCGATTAGGAGGGGGGGGGAGGAGAGTGCCGTTTACTTATATCTATTAGCCAACAAAGGCCCTCTAAATTTTCCATATACGAGCACCCCCCTCCCCTCAGGCGAAAGGCCCTGCCTCGCTACAGTCAGGCAAGTCAGTACGCTCTCAGATTCCGACAGGTCACTTCATCCCCTCCGCTCCTCTAAACACACCAGGTCCTATTCAAAAGATCTTATCTGGGCGTTCCCCCAAGACAATCTTATCTTAAACGCAGGTGAATTTCACTTAGTTTGATCATTTGATACAGCTACATATCAATATAATTTGTGATTTTGTTCACGTAAATCTGAAGATGGAAGATCAAAGAAACCAAAAGTGCATGCAGAAATATATTCCGCTTACTGTCGTATGTATCCCAACTGATCAAAATGAGTGAAATGGGGTTACCTCACCAGATATACATTCCCACCAGATATAATCCCGCCAGATATAAATCTCACCAGATATACAGGAATTAATTCTTTTATCAAACGCACATTCGCACGAAATATAAATCCCACCAGATATACAGAATTAATATTTGAAATTATTCGGGTCACCGGAAATATAATTCCCACTAAATTAATTTCCCACTAAGTATAATTCTCGCCAGGCATAACAATAAAAGCAAATCATATGCAATGCAGGTTAACATGTTGGCAGAACTGCAGTTTATATATATGGAACGGGCATCTGAAGCTCTACTCTGCAAAGTCAACTCTGTTTAGATTGAACTCACTTGCAGGTTACGGGTACACTCTCTTTAGCCTGTACTCAAGAGAACAGTTCCACAAGCTGGTTCTCAGCTGCATTTGTTTTCAAGGGAACTACGTTAAGTGTTTACTGACCTGAGCACACCCGTTGGCGGCTACTGATCTGAACATTCTCTCCTTGGAGTGTACTTAGCGGAGCACTCTCGCTGGAAAGTACATGTGCGTACACTACCGACACTGGAGCGTAGTTGTATGCTACATTCAAGCATACAACTACGCTTGAAGACTTTGCGCTTCAAGTCAAGCGTGGAGAAGAAATTCGCCCATGCATTTAGATAGGCGGGTGAGCGGCGAAATGGAGAACTACGCTTGAAGAAAGGCGTAAAAGTACGCTTGAGTTCTACCAGTGGAGTTTGCAGAGTGGTTGCCTTGCGTCGAAAAGGCAGGGACAGCTGCATTTATATTTATTTAAAAAAAATTAATGCTGTATATCTGGTGGGATTTATATTTCGTGCGAATATGCGTTAATGCAAATAAAATTAATTGCTGTATATCTGGTGAGATTTATATCTGATGAGATTTATATGTGGTGGGATTATATTTGGTGAGATTATATCTGATGAGAATGTATATCTGCTGATACCATCTCAGTGAAATTTGCACTGTAAAAAAATTCCGTACTTTTGTACGGAAATGGTACAGAAAAATATAGTACGGAGGTACGGAGAAAATTACGGAACGTTCCGTACTGCTCCATATGAACCCATGTAAATGGGTACGGAAAAAAGGTACGGAACGTTCCGTAGTTGGCAAGTACGGACGGTCCGGAAAATTTATTGACCAGACATGTTCCGTACTTTTTCCGTACTTTTTTCTGACAGTGTGCCTGCGTTGAAGATAATATTGTCTTGGGGGGAACCCCCAAAATAAGATCGTTTGAATAGGCCCCCTCGATATCACACTGCAAATCCAAGTGTAGGACAGGTCGACACTTTAAAGCGTAGACCAGTTTGTCCTACGCTTGCAAGTGTCGACCAGTTGTGTCCGACGCTTCGAAGTGTCGACCACACTGTGTCCGACGCCGGCATGTGTAGGACACTGTTTGTCCTACGTCCTACGGCAAATTACACTGAGTTCCTACTGTGACCCCACACTTCAGCCGTCGGACTTTTGGGTCGACACTTGCGGGTGTCGGACGGGTGTGGTCGACACTTCAAAGCGTCGGACACAGCTGGTCGACACTTGCAAGCATAGGACAAACTGGCTACGCTTTAAAGTGTCGACCTGTCCTACACTTGGATTTGCAGTGCACAGCTCCAAGAAATTTTTCACCCTGAAAAACTTAAACTTGTCATGGATGATGCCTTGAAAATGTCTGGAAGCCCGTTACTCCAATGGGGATGAAAACCTTTTCTGTCTGTCTGTCCATGTGTGAGTGTGTGTGCACTACTCCTACTGAGCGGCTTGGCCGATCCGGCTGAGATTTTGCAGGGTGTATATCCTTGGCTCACCACACACCATAATTCAGCTTCGCATCTCCATTCCTCCATTCATCGTAATAAAAAAAAAACACTTAAAAACGGCAAAAATGCAATAATTGCATGAGCGGGAGGAGGGTTTCGGCCATTAGTAGAGCAAGTACGGCATGTCGGGGTATTTTTGGAACCAAGGTGACCAGACAAATTCAATGAACCTTGTTCCGACAGAGTCGGCCGCTTCCATGGGTCAACTAGATCAGGATCTTGATAAAAGGGGATCGGCCGACTGAAAAAATTTATTGTGGCTTCAGGTCTCGCCACGAACTTTTCAACGAGGGGTCGCAAGGGGGTCCAGGAGCCTGACTTTTTGAGTTGTGGCAATCGGTGCCACCAACTCGTTTTGCAGTTTTGCTGGGCCTCGGTTGCAATGAGTTGCTGTTACAAGTCATAGGCATTTTCGATCATGAACCCTCTGTGAAACCTTCATCACGCAGTACTGTTCTCATTACTTCAACTCTAGCAGGAAGCGCCGCAGGCCAAGGTACGTGCAAACGCTAGGCGTGGAATGTCGTAACTGACCGAGGGGTTACCCACTCCGGGAATCGTGTGTACACTCAGTCCGGGAATCGTTCGTAATTTGCTCAAAATTTTATCGAAAATTTTAAGGGGGGACCCTGGTGAAACTTTCAAGTAGGCTTCAAAATAATCCCAGGAAGTTGCAACTTTGCTTAATTATGAGGTTCATTATGGTGAGTTCCCAAAAAAAAATTCAATCCAAAATGTTGAACGGTCTCTGAGAAAAGTGGCTTTTTAGTGTTTTTGGAGGTTGGGAAAAATCTTCCTGCGTCTTTCATTGGGACGGAAAGTCTTGAAAATTTTTTTGGGTTATCCTAAAGATGTATTGAAGAATTTTAGTGACGGAATTTTCAAATTCAACTTCTGTCCTGAGATCTGAGTTTTAAAATTTTTAAACATTAAAAAAAATTGATTTTTTTCCCTTTTTTCACACTTTTAGGTGTGTTAAAAAAAAGTAGGGGTGATATCAAGATTCCGTCACTAAAATTTGTCGACAAGTCATCAATGAATAGAGCCATGAAAGACGGCTCATGTAGGTGTCAACCAGGAACGCAGGAAGTCTTTCTACGAAAAAATTTTTTTGTCGACTGAGAAAAGCTGAGAAGTTGAGCGTAAAGCCAACGACAACTGATCTCAATGTTATTCCTTCCAAATGATAAAGAAACTACCCATTAGTTTAAAAGGGTGTTAAACCCTTTGAATCTAAAACCCTTCTATACACATTTTTATCTTTTAACTTTGAAAATACTATTTTTTGGAATTTTGGCGATTTTTTCCCCAGGGTCCCCCCTTAAAATTTTTAAATGGAGAGAGATATGTAATAGACACAAAACCCCAAAAAGGTAAAAAAAATCTTCAAAAACCTCTCCTTTATGCAAGTTTTGTTCAGGAATCGCGGCAACCCGGGAAATCGTGTGTACGCCCAAGTACCGAGTGGGAAACCCCTCGTAATTGACGCAGCATCGCGAAGCCAACCACGACGAGACACGGTCTGGCGTACACCTACCTTGTCAATACTCTGCGTAGGCTCGCACAGTATTCTCCGTAGGGCCGTACAGTATTTTCCGTAGGACCGCACAGTCCTCTCCGTAGGCGACCTACAAGACTGTATAGTCCTACGGAAAATACTGTAAGAGCCTACGGAGAATTACCACAAACTATTTACAGAATTTTCTATAGCTTTTTTCCTGTGAGATAACAATAAAAAAGCTAACCTGGGGTCTGCACAAAATGTCGTTGTGTCCGAGGTAGAGGTGAGTAGGCGTCTGGATGGCAGACAAGTTGTACAGCGGCGGCTCGGGCGCCCCGTACACATCCTGATTCCTTGCGGCACCGTAGTCGTACTGCCGGATGCCTTGAGCTGCGGGCCACAAATTCATAATACGTAACTTAATTAGCTGGCAAAATATTTTGAGCCCGACCCCACAGTTCTGAGGCGGTCTAGAAAACGTTGTTGGCCGCCGATCAACCTATCGTGAATAGGAAATACGACGAAATACGTCATAAATTCAGTAGTCGCTATTCTCACACTTACTGTTGGGGTTCACATTTTGAACATAGTGGAAGATCTGGCCCCAGGAGCCACCAGTCGGGATCGAGTTCAAGAAATTCGGGAGTTCCTAAAAGAAAAACAGTAAAAGCACTCAAATGATGAAACTTACGTCTGGAGTGAATTTAAAGCTTGGCTGGATGTAAGAGAATACGTGGGGAGCCAGAGATTTCGATGTGTATCGACCCTTTTTCTTTCATTTATCGACGCCTGATAAACAAATGTCTTCAGCGTACTTCAGAATGGAGAACTAACCAGAGGACCTATTAGGTGGAGTTTACATGTCAGGCACTATGCTTCAGATGCATGTCTAAAAACCTTTACCAAGTTTTACAGAAAAATGTTTCCCTTTGGGAAAACTTCGCAACTGTAGCGTGTGTGCGTTCCCGAGTTGTCACCCCAAAGGGGGATCTACACAATCCTAACTGTGTGTGTCATTCTGAACTGCACACTTAGTGTCCTAGGAATTTTTCTGTCCCCATGGATGATGCTATTTCAAGCACATCCGACGGTGGTACAATTTTGTGGCCGCCAGGCGGGACAAATTGTCTAATGAAAGTTCAATTTGCATTAGACGTGGGACAAACTGTCACTAGGCGGGGAAAAAAATTGTATCACCGCCGGATGTGCTTTAAGTTGCAAATTCATGGGGGAGAAAAGTCCCATGACATTTAGTGTGAACTGTGCCGGCCTTGACTCACGAAATAGGTTTCGTTCTTCTTGAAGCCCACGATGGCGTAGAACACGTCGTAGACCAAGGGGCGCGCCACCGGCAGCAGCACCTTGATGAGGAGCTTGACGATCATGTAGAGCGGCCGATGGTGCGGCGCAGGCCCAGGCCCTCCACGAGGGGCTGCGTGCCGTTGTTGAGGACGTACAGCAGCTCCACCACCGGGCTGAGCTGTGCGTGCAATGACCCGGCTGGTGCCATGAGGAAGGCAGCGCGCACCTAGAGCCCTAGATATGTTAGACAATCGCGGAGCTGCTCAAAGTCCGCCATTTTGAAACGAGCCTTGAAGCTAGAGGGGTTTTATACGTGAGCCGATTGCAGCCTGACCAGAGACTTCCAATCTAACAGCCAACATCAAGGTTAAGATGCGGGGCAAGGGAAATATTCTACGATTCGTTTCAACATGGTCGACCAGAGGACGAACTCGGGCGCGGATTTTTATGGTTTTAAGAAAATTCTTTTGCAAAATTTTTACGAGTGCGCACCCTGCACTGAGAAAAACCCTTTTAAACTATTTCAGACCTTACAGAGCCAAGTAGATTAAAGTATTTCGAGCATACATAAGCTTACAAAGAAAAAACTTCGTGATTTACGAATTATTTTTTTCATATAACAAAGTAAATTAGTTTGTACGTATGTATGATCAAAATACTTCGTAAGGTTTTAAGGGTGTGTGCCTGTCTCACCCATCCAGGACTCTACGCGCACCTTGCGCTGGTACTCGGGCCGCGCCGCCGCCATGGCCATGAACGTCGTGGCGCCCATGGAGTGCCCCGCGTACATGACGGAGGGAAAGCTGGTCTGCGCCAGCACGTAGTCGATGGCGGCCGCGTTGTCGAACACGCCCTGCTCGTGCCAGCTGCAGGCAGTCGCAAGCAGTTGACATGACGAACCGTGCACATGGCATGGCCCCCTCGTTAGGTACCCCAATTGAAAGGAATGCGACTCAGTTCTCCAAACAAAATATTTTGTCACATGATGCCACGTGTTTGGATTCCCACAGAGGAACTCCATAGTAACGCACGAGCTTGAGATAACGTTTCAGCCCAGCCTAGCCTTTACAGTACCTGAAGTCCCCGTACTCCTCGTTTTTGGTTGACAACTTGATGTGCTCCCGCAATTGATCGTGCCACGGTAGTTTATCATCCATACGTCGAAGCCCGCGTCGTAAAGCAAAGGCGCTAATCGGAAAAAAAAAATTTAAAAAGAAGAAAAATAAAACACAAATCAATAGTAGGTCACTTTTAAAAAAAAATGTCAATATTTTGAGCATTAATATTGAACTGGTAGCCAAAGTAGCTTACAGGCGTTTGAATATGATCTACGTTTTGCAGCGTAGCAGACTATTTGATCCAGGAAGCGGAAGAAGGGTATAACTCAAATTTTACCATTTTTTTGGAGAAACAAAAAAATGTATTTTTTTTTTTACCTCGCTTTTGGTGTAAGTTCTTGAAATTAAAGAGGGTTAAGTTGACTTCATTCCTTTTTACAATCGATGCATAAAAAAAGAAGTCGTGTAGTCTCCGATCAACAATATGTTCAACGAAGCCTGACTTTGATTGTTTCCATTTTCCACTAAATTGCGAATGTAAAAGGGTTGTACCCCAACTGATCAAAATGAGTGAAATTTGCACTGAAAATTCCGTTTTTTTGTACGGAAATGGTACAGAAAAATATAGTACGGAGGTACGGAGAAAATTACGGAACGTTCCGTACTGCTCCATATGAACCCATGTAAATGGGTACGGAAAAAAGGTACGGAACGTTCCGTAGTTGGCAAGTACGGACGGTCCGGAAAATTTATTGACCAGACATGTTCCGTACTTTTTCCGTACTTTTTTCTGACAGTGTGCCTGCGTTGAAGATAATATTGTCTTGGGGGGAACGCCCAAATAAGATCGTTTGAATAGGACCCCTCGATATCACACTGCAAATCCAAGTGTAGGACAGGTCGACACTTTAAAGCGTAGACCAGTTTGTCCTACGCTTGCAAGTGTCGACCAGTTGTGTCCGACGCTTCGAAGTGTCGACCACACTGTGTCCGACGCCGGCATGTGTAGGACACTGTTTGTCCTACGTCCTACGGCAAATTACACTGAGTTCCTACTGTGACCCCACACTTCAGCCGTCGGACTTTTGGGTCGACACTTGCGGGTGTCGGACGGGTGTGGTCGACACTTCAAAGCGTCGGACACAGCTGGTCGACACTTGCAAGCATAGGACAAACTGGTCTACGCTTTAAAGTGTCGACCTGTCCTACACTTGGATTTGCAGTGCACAGCTCCAAGAAATTTTTCACCCTGAAAAACTTAAACTTGTCATGGATGATGCCTTGAAAATGTCTGGAAGCCCGTTACTCCAATGGGGATGAAAACCTTTTCTGTCTGTCTGTCCATGTGTGAGTGTGTGTGCACTACTCCTACTGAGCGGCTTGGCCGATCCGGCTGAGATTTTGCAGGGTGTATATCCTTGGCTCACCACACACCATAATTCAGCTTCGCATCTCCATTCATCGTAATAAAAAAAAACACTTAAAAACGGCAAAAATGCAATAATTGCATGAGCGGGAGGAGGGTTTCGGCCATTAGTAGAGCAAGTACGGCATGTCGGGGTATTTTTGGAACCAAGGTGACCAGACAAATTCAATGAACCTTGTTCCGACAGAGTCGGCCGCTTCCATGGGTCAACCAGATCAGGATCTTGATAAAAGGGGATCGGCCGACTGAAAAAATTTATTGTGGCTTCAGGTCTCGCCACGAACTTTTCAACGAGGGGTCGCAAGGGGGTCCAGGAGCCTGACTTTTTGAGTTGTGGCAATCGGTGCCACCAACTCGTTTTGCAGTTTTGCTGGGCCTCGGTTGCAATGAGTTGCTGTTACAAGTCATAGGCATTTTCGATCATGAACCCTCTGTGAAACCTTCATCACGCAGTACTGTTCTCATTACTTCAACTCTAGCAGGAAGCGCCGCAGGCCAAGGTACGTGCAAACGCTAGGCGTGGAATGTCGTAACTGACCGAGGGGTTACCCACTCCGGGAATCGTGTGTACACTCAGTCCGGGAATCGTTCGTAATTTGCTCAAAATTTTATCGAAAATTTTAAAGGGGGGACCCTGGTGAAACTTTCAAGTAGGCTTCAAAAAAATCCCAGGAAGTTGCAACTTTGCTTAATTATGAGGTTCATTATGGTGAGTTCCCAAAAAAAAATTCAATCCAAAATGTTGAACGGTCTCTGAGAAAAGTGGCTTTTTAGTGTTTTTGGAGGTTGGGAAAAATCTTCCTGCGTCTTTCATTGGGACGGAAAGTCTTGAAAATTTTTTTGGGTTATCCTAAAGATGTATTGAAGAATTTTAGTGACGGAATTTTCAAATTCAACTTCTGTCCTGAGATCTGAGTTTTAAAATTTTTAAACATTAAAAAAAATTGATTTTTTTCCCTTTTTTCACACTTTTAGGTGTGTTAAAAAAAAGTAGGGGTGATATCAAGATTCCGTCACTAAAATTTGTCGACAAGTCATCAATGAATAGAGCCATGAAAGACGGCTCATGTAGGTGTCAACCAGGAACGCAGGAAGTCTTTCTACGAAAAAATTTTTTTGTCGACTGAGAAAAGCTGAGAAGTTGAGCGTAAAGCCAACGACAACTGATCTCAATGTTATTCCTTCCAAATGATAAAGAAACTACCCATTAGTTTAAAAGGGTGTTAAACCCTTTGAATCTAAAACCCTTCTATACACATTTTTATCTTTTAACTTTGAAAATACTATTTTTTGGAATTTTGGCGATTTTTTCACCAGGGTCCCCCCTTAAAAGTTTTAATGGAGAGAGATATGTAATAGACACAAAACACTCAAAAAGGTAAGAAAAATCTTCAAAAACCTCTCCTTTATGCAAGATTTGTTCAGGAATCGCGGCAATCCGGAATCGTGTGTACGCCCAAGTACCGAGTGGGTAACCCCTCGTAATTGACGCAGCATCGCGAAGCCAACCACGACGAGACACGGTCTGGCGTACACCTACCTTGTCAATACTCTGCGTAGGCTCGCACAGTATTTTCCGTAGGACCGCACAGTCCTCTCCGTAGGCGACCTACAAGACTGCATAGTCCTACGGAAAATACTGTAAGAGCCTACGGAGAATTACCACAAACTATTTACAGAATTTTCTATAGCTTTTTTCCTGTGAGATAACAATAAAAAAGCTAACCTGGGGTCTGCACAAAATGTCGTTGTGTCCGAGGTAGAGGTGAGTAGGCGTCTGGATGGCAGACAAGTTGTACAGCGGCGGCTCGGGCGCCCCGTACACATCCTGATTCCTTGCGGCACCGTAGTCGTACTGCCGGATGCCTTGAGCTGCGGGCCACAAATTCATAATACGTAACTTAATTAGCTGGCAAAATATTTTGTGCCCGACCCCACAGTTCTGAGGCGGTCTAGAAAACGTTGTTGGCCGCCGATCAACCTATCGTGAATAGGAAATACGACGAAATACGTCATAAATTCAGTAGTCGCTATTCTCACACTTACTGTTGGGGTTCACATTTTGAACATAGTGGAAGATCTGGCCCCAGGAGCCACCAGTCGGGATCGAGTTCAAGAAATTCGGGAGTTCCTAAAAGAAAAACAGTAAAAGCACTCAAATGATGAAACTTACGTCTGGAGTGAATTTAAAGCTTGGCTGGATGTAAGAGAATACGGGGGGAGCCAGAGATTTCGATGTGTATCGACCCTTTTTCTTTCATTTATCGATATGAACGACGCCTGATAAACAAATGTCTTCAGCGTACTTCAGAATGGAGAACTAACCAGAGGACCTATTAGGTGGAGTTTACATGTCAGGCACTATGCTTCAGATGCATGTCTAAAAACCTTTACCAAGTTTTACAGAAAACTGTTCCTTGGAAATCTTCGCAACTGTAGCGTGTGTGCGTTCCCGAGTTGTCACCCAAGGGTTATCTACACAATCCTAACTGTGTGTGTCATTCTGAACTGCACACTTAGTGTCCTAGGAATTTTTCTGTCCCCATGGATGATGCTATTTCAAGCACATCCGACGGTGGTACAATTTTGTGGCCGCCAGGCGGGACAAATTGTCTAATGAAAGTTCAATTTGCATTAGACGTGGGACAAACTGTCACTAGGCGGGAACAAAATTGTATCACCGCCGGATGTGCTTTAAGTTGCATAATTCATGGGGCAGAAAAGTCCCATGACATTTAGTGTGAACTGTGCCGGCCTTGACTCACGAAATAGGTTTCGTTCTTCTTGAAGCCCACGATGGCGTAGAACACGTCGTAGACCAAGGGGCGCGCCACCGGCAGCAGCACCTTGATGAGGAGCTTGACGATCATGTAGAGCGGCCGGATGGTGCGGCGCAGGCCCAGGCCCTCCACGAGGGGCTGCGTGCCGTTGTTGAGGACGTACAGCAGCTCCACCACCGGGCTGAGCTGTGCGTGCAATGACCCGGCTGGTGCCATGAGGAAGGCAGCGCGCACCTAGAGCCCTAGATATGTTAGACAATCGCGGAGCTGCTCAAAGTCCGCCATTTTGAAACGAGCCTTGAAGCTAGAGGGGTATTGATACGTGAGCCGATTGCAGCCTGACCAGAGACTTCCAATCTAACAGCCAACATCAAGGTTAAGATGCGGGGCAAGGGAAATATTCTACGATTCGTTTCAACATGGTCGACCAGAGGACGAACTCGGGCGCGGATTTTGATGGTTTTAAAAAGGTTCTTCTGCAAAATTTTTACGAGTGCGCACCCTGCACTGAGAAAACCTTTCAAACTATTTCAGACCTTACAGAGCCAAGTAGATTAAAGTATTTCGAGCATACATAAGCTTACAAAGAAAATACTTCGTGATTTACGAATTATTTTTTTTCATATAACAAAGTAAATTAGTTTGTACGTATGTATGATCAAAATACTTCGTAAGGTTTTAAGGGTGTGTGCCTGTCTCACCCATCCAGGACTCTACGCGCACCTTGCGCTGGTACTCGGGCCGCGCCGCCGCCATGGCCATGAACGTCGTGGCGCCCATGGAGTGCCCCGCGTACATGACGGAGGGAAAGCTGGTCTGCGCCAGCACGTAGTCGATGGCGGCCGCGTTGTCGAACACGCCCTGCTCGTGCCAGCTGCAGGCAGTCGCAAGCAGTTGACATGACGAACCGTGCACATGGCATGGCACACCTCGTTAGGTACCTCCAATTGAAAGGAATGCGACTCAGTTCTCCAAACAACATATTTTGTCACATGATGCCACGTGTTTGGATTCCCACAGAGGAACTCCATAGTAACGCACGAGCTTGAGATAACGTTTCAGCCCAGCCTAGCCTTTACAGTACCTGAAGTCCCAGTACTCCTCGTTTTTGGTTGACAACTTGATGTGCTCCCGCGAATTGATCGTGCCACGGTAGTTGATCATCCATACGTCGAAGCCCGCGTCGTAAAGCAAAGGCGCTAATCGGAAAAAAAAATTTAAAGAGAAGAAAAGTAAATCACAAAATCAATAGTAGGTCACTTTTAAAAAAAAATGTCAATATTTTGAGCATTAATATTGAACTGGTAGCCAAAGTAGCTTACAGGCGTTTGAATATGATCTACGTTTTGCAGCGTAGCAGACTATTTGATCCAGGAAGCGGAAGAAGGGTATAACTCAAATTTGACCATTTTTTTGGAGAAACAAAAAAATGTATTTTTTTTTTTACCTCGCTTTTGGTGTAAGTTCTTGAAATTAAAGAGGGTTAAGTTGACTTCATTCCTTTTTACAATCGATGCATAAAAAAAGAAGTCGTGTAGTCTCCGATCAACAATATGTTCAACGAAGCCTGACTTTGATTGTTTCCATTTTCCACTAAATTGCGAATGTAAAAGGGTTCAAGTTGAGATGTGTCTTTTTTTTTCGAAGTGGATTTTCTCCTTGACTGCTAGCAATTGAGTCAAATGTTTGGTGCAATGATGCAAACCATTTTAAGGCACAATGATATTAAAAAACTCAATTTGGAGATAAATTGAATTATTCCCTTCTTCTACTTTCCCGGATAAAGTTGAAAGTGTGCTTTTACACACTAAACGCCATGGGACTTTTTTTGTCCCACGATTTATGCAATTTTAAGCACGTCCGACGCTGATACAATTTGGTTGCCATCTGGAGACACATTTTGTCCGACGCCTGCCGCAAATTGTACCTTCACTAGACAATTTGTCCCCCGCCTGGCGGACACAAAATTGCATCACCACCGGATGTGCTTAAAATTGCATTATTCATGGGACGAAAAAAGTCCCATGACATTTAGTGTGAAAGTACACTCCCCTGATCTGTGTTCAGGGGGGACCCTGGTGAAACTTTCAAGTAGGCTCCAAAATAATCCCAGAAAGTTGAAACTTTGCTTAATTATTAGGTTCATTATGGTGAGTTCCCAAAACAAAATTCAATCCAAAATGTTGAACGGTCTCCGAGAAAAGTGTCTTTTTAGTGTTTTTAGAGCGTTGGGGAAAAATCTTCCTGCGTCTTTCATTGGGCCAGAAAGTCTTGAAAATTTTTTTGGGTTATCCTAAAGATGTATAGAAGAGATTTTAGTGACGGAATTTTCAAATTCAACTTCTGTCCTGAGATATGAATTTTCAAATTTTAACATTTAATAAAAGTGATTTTTTTCCCCTTTTTTCAAACTTTACGGTGTTTGTAAAAAAAAAGTAGGGCTGATATCAAGATTCCGTCACTAAAATTTGTCGACAAGTCATCAATGAATAGAGTCCATGCAAGACGACTCATGTAGGTGTCAACCAGGAACGCAGGAAGTCTTTCTACGACAAAATTTTTTGTCGACTGAGCAAAGCTGTGAAGTTGAGCGTAGAAGCCAACGACAACTGATCTCAGTGTTATTTCCTTCCAAATGATGAAGAAACTACTCACTTAGCTTAAAGGTGTTCAACCTGTTGAATCTGAAACCTTCTATGCACATTTTTAGCTATGAACTTTGAAAATACTATTTTTGGCAATTTTTCACCAGGGTCCCCCCGTAAGTTGGCCTTTGATCTTTTGGTGCGCGAAAGAGGTCGACTGACCCAGGGCCTTGCCGCGACCGAGTAGGACGAAGCAAGCCGGGGTGAGCTGCAAGCCTGGCGCCAGCAAGACGGGCTGCCGTCCGGGGTTGGGCGCGCGCTCCAGGCGCAGCCGGTACCCGTCCTGCGTGGTCACGAAGTGCGTCTGCATGGGGTACCCGAGGTCGACCATCAGATCGCTCTAGAAAAGAGAAAATCGTTAACCGTGGACAAGCAAAATGAAAACTTGACGGGAAACAGCATTGACCATGTGCAAAAAAAAGAAAAGGTTCATTGTCCAATGTCCAAGAAAGGTCACGTAAAAGTTTAGAGTGCGTTGCTGTGGTGCCGAAGTGCTGTAAAGTGGAGGAACTTCTGCCTCGGGCCATTTAAAAATGTGCAAATTTATTACCGAATAACGATCTCTGCCTTTTCTACAGACGCCTCTGCTCTGAAAATTAAACGGCGAAACTGATCATCGCATTTGACGATAAAGGCCTAAGCTGGTATAGTAAGGGCCGATGGTAGAACTCGCTTCTGCTCCCTGACTAAGACTATTTAACAAAATTCAAATAATTTGCGCCTACATGGAAGAAAATGTGGCACTGCTACCTTCTCTTGGCCCCTGAATGTAGTTTCAATTGCTTGCAATCTGAAATCTTCCAACTTTCCCCTGTGTAGAGAATTTCGTGAAAGGAGAAAGTTTAAGTTGGTTTCCACGCACTAAATGTTTATTAATATGTAATTTTGTACACCACAACAAAAATACACAAAGTCCTGGCAAATTTTTATCAGGAATTTATTGTACTTGTACTACAACTATTGTTGTAAAAGTACTATGGAACCGGCATGACGAGTGCTGTGCAGTCCGGGCCTCGTTGTGTTTTTTTTACAATTTTCGTTGTACTTTCTACAACCTTTGTTGTACTTTTATTGTACAGTTTTTGTTGTACTTTTGTTGTACTATTCACAATTTTTCTTGCAGTGTATTGCCGGATCTGTGCAGGTGTGCGTCAGGTGCAATAATTGATCCACGAAGCGGAAGAAGGGGTTAAGTCGAGTTGATTCAGTGACCTCTTATCAGTCTATCAAGTAAACGTGAGCGAAAATTTGGTCCAAAAATAAGTGTGGTGAGACAAGTCCCATCCTCTTGCATCTATTTTTAGATGACATTCCCCACCTGTTCTCCCACCTGCAAGGTTCAGACCTTTCTAAAGTGCACGGATTCAACTCGACTTAACCCCTTCTTCCGCTTCGTGGATCAATTGTAGTCTCACCGCCGTGACGTTGTCATCGGCAGCAGGCAGCCATCTTAGCAGCTGCTCCAGGACGACGACGGCGGTGGTGCCAGCGATGGCGCTGGACGCCTCGGTGATTGGCGTAGTGACGGCGGCGGACACCTCGTTGACCGGCGTGGTGACGGCGGCGGACACTTTGGAACCCACATCCCGCAGCAACCCGGACACCACACCGAGCGCCGACGGCCAGGGCGTCGCCGCCGGGGCCTCGAGGGGCACCACCAGGATGGCGACCAGCAGCGCCACCGTGCCGCGCACGCCGCCCACGCCAGTCGTCACGCGCAACGGAGTGAGCATCGGGACGCGGAATCTTGAGGATTTCGGATTAATGCATCTGCAGCACTTAACGAAATAAATGAATTTGAATCTAGGGTCAGTCTGTGTGCACACACACACACACACATACACACACCTCTATGTAATATTACTTACACACACGCACACTGACCCTCAGATGTTAGATATGAATGTTCACTGTAAGTGATAAATTGGAAATTTACGATGGCACCTTCAACAAAAATATTTCCAAGTGAATTCACGAACCCAGTTTGTAAAGTACAACAAAGAATCATCGTGAATTCACAAAGGACGTTCGTGAGTTTTCCTCGAAAAGACGTGGATTTACGATGAATCATTGTAAATTACCGTCAATCTTTTTAAATTACGAAGTCTTTGTTCCCGTGGCGGGCTCCCGCTTCGCATTTGGACCGTCCAGTGGCTCCGTAAAAGTACCCGAATGATACATTGCCCATATCACGTTGATGAAAATATGTCCGCCGACTAAAAGTGTCGTTGCACTTACTCGTTCACCGTGCAGTCGTCCGCTCTTTTGTAGCTTCACACTCGTCTTGCGCCTCGACCACCCGCCGCTGCGAGAACTACTCAGCTCGACTGAGACGAGGTCGATGCTGCCGCCGACTGCCGTGCTGTGCCTCAAAACGCGTCCGAAGCTGCTCAACTGCTAGCGGCAGCCACTCAACTGCAAAAGTTAGTCTTGGAAGGAAGTTTTACGGAAAAAGGCTTTTGTAAATTCACGAAAGTTTCTCATTCGTGCACTGGCAAAGTACGCGAGGTCTCCGTAAATCCTCGAAGAATCTTCCGTTCCCAGAGAATAAAACTACCATTTTCCTGCGGACACGCCATGCTTAACGTAAAGTCCGCCACTCACTAAAATATTTTCTGCGTCCTTCAGCTGAAGAACTTCAGTGTATTCAGGTCATCGTTCGTTGAACCGTTATACTGAATACATAGAAATCACTCTGGGGTGCACCTGTCGAGTTGGTTTGATGATGAACTTCACATGCATCAAGTCTAGAGTCCAATGCAAATTTCATGTACACTCCAAATATCTTGCAGTGGTCTGGTCCCAGCCTTTGAGGGCAGCGGTCTTCACTGTAGGAAAAAACACAGTAAATCCTGTAGCGATTAGTACAGCTGTCACTGTTGTTCAGAGCACAGGATTTACTGTACTTGTTTTACAGGATCTACTGTACTTTTTTACAGGGTCTACTGTACTGTGAGCGGGATTTACTGTACCACAGGAGTGGAGCACGGAATATCCTGTACAAGGTAAGGTAAATCCTGTAGCCAGGCACAGTAAATCCTGGCCAAAAAATTAACGGTTTTTTTCCACAGTGTGTTTTTTTCTTTTTCCAGTGCGCAGCGCTGGTCTGTTTTCCACGGCGGCGCACGTGTCGTTTTTCTCCGACCTTTATCTACCTTGGCAGTACGTGTCGCGCGGGTCAGTATGTGCTCTCATTTCAGGAACGTGACATCACGTTAAAACGAATGTGACAAATTGTCATGCTCCTTTGAGCATTGTGTCACATTCGTTTGGACGTGAATGAGCCATAGATTAGCTTGCTCACGTTCAAACGAATGGGACATGCTCGAAGGGACGTGACATCTTGTCACATTCGTTGCAACGTGATGGCACGTTCCTAGAATGAGTGTGTATATGTGGTGGAAAAAGAGAGGGTGGAGGCGGAAAAAGCGCTTGCATAGTGACAGACCTGATATCGTGAGTGAGAAGTGTTTAGGCTGGGTCGATCCCCTTGTCTATCTTGCCTTGTTTGACTAATTTCAATCTAGTTGACCACCGCAGGCGACTGCAGGTGTGTGTAGTATGGCCCTTAATTTGCCCGTCTTATGATTGTAACTGCGCAAGTAACTGCGGGATTGGCAAAAAATCATTTGAAATGATGATAATCTCATCACAAATTGATGACATTTTCATCAAAGCTCCTATACTAATTGGCTGAGCGATAGCGAAGCCTGTTACTCCAGTGGGGTTGAAAAGTTTTGTCTGTCTGTGGTTTTGTCTGCGGTCTGTCTGTCGGTCTGTCTGTCCGCACTACTCCTCCTGAACGGCTCGGCCGATCTCAGTGAGATTTTGCACACTTCTTAGGTATGTCCTTGGCTCGGCACACGCGAAATTTCACCATCCTAGCTCAACTGGTTCAGTTTTTATAGGCGAAAAACACCTAAAAAACGGCGATAAATAGAGATTTCTGCAGATAGACCACTTCTGTCTTGGAGAAAGGGGGGTCTGGGGGGCGGAGCCCCCCAGCCTCGACAAGTTAAAAAGTGACAAGGGTCAAGATCGTGTTATCTGTAGATTAAACAACTCTATTTACAATGTAGGGGGGTCTGGGGAGCGGAGCCCCCCAGCATTCAACAAGTTAAAAAATAACCGACAACGGACAAGCCATTGCCTGCCGCAGGCAGGCTAGCGCCGCAGGCCAAGGTAGGTACGCCAGGCGTGGATTGGAGGAACAGGCAGCGAGACATCGCGAAGCCTGTTACGACAAGACGCGGTCTGGCGTAAACCTACCTTGTTGCATGGACATGACAACAATGTCATCAATTGATTTGATGACATCCTCGTAAGGCACATTGTCGCAAAGTTACGACTCAAATTTTCACAGTGTGCCGCAAAGATGGATTTGTTGAGGCAACAAAGTTTTCTGCTCTTCTGATGACATTTTAGACACTGGTACGAAACATACTTAGATGAGCCTAAACCAACCGACAAATCGGTCGGGCTCACTAAGTAGTTTAGCCCGTGCCGTTAGCTGAAACCTGGTCCTTACCACTGAAATGCCAATGCTGAGCAAACTGAGGGCGATCCCAACGAAGAAGTAGTGGCAAGGGACGTCTTTCGTCCTAGACCTGTAACATAACTCGAAGTTCGTTCGGAGGTACGCGGGAGCAGGTTTCCCCGACCTGATGTGGCTTTTAACTCGGCCCAACAGAGTTCACGTTTACATAGGCATACACTGCAAATATAAAGGCGATACTTGAGTACATTTTTCGGCGATACAATTAAGTATCGCCAGTAACGGCCTTACGGAAAAGTATTGCCTTCAGAACGGCGATACGCAGAGGTATCGCCAAAATTTGGCGATACTTTTTGGTATCGCCAAAACCACGCCATTGAACTAGGAACTTGTCCCCTTGATTTGTGCAACGTTTAATGCCAAATTGTGGCAATACTCCGAAGTATCACCCAATTTTGGCGATACTTTTGTGTATCGCCGTTTTGAAGGCAATACTTTTTCGTAGGGCCTTTTATTGGCGATACTTAATTGTATCGCCAAAAAAGGTACCAAAAGTATTGCCTTTGGATTTACAGTGTAACTGCAAGTGCACTGTTTCTTAGGCGTACTTGGCCAAGTGCACAAATGCATCCATATTGTAGGCTTGGCATGCGTTTGTAACTGTTCACTAAGTAGTGGATCCGGTTGTAGTGCAGTTCGATCCCAGCCCGGTACCGCCGCTGAAGCAGCTACAATCTCCTGAAAACGTTCTTTAACAGTTTGAACTTACCTTCTGTTGCAGTGAGGACAGTTAACAAGGGCGACGGTGTGAGAAGCTTTTGACTGTAACAGAAAATAAATCCACGGGTGGAAGAGTATTAGTAATATTGGTTTACAAAACAATGGGAATGGCATCCCCCTTGAAACTAAAGTTGCTTATGGATTTCTTTCAGTAGTACCGTTGCGTGGAGCAAGCACGATAGACCCTTTCAGTTTTCGTTACCGTGTGAAGAACAAAAGTAATCAGAAAGTCAGGAACGAACAGCGCACCACCTACCGGCGGTTACTGTGAAATGTCAAAAGCTGAACTTTGGTCAAGCCAAGGTCTGGACCAAGTTCCTAACAGTCGCCACTGCTTCCTGGTTTTTGATTACTGTTAGTCTTTAGCTGCGACTGAAAGGGTCTATCTATGGCGGTAAAAAAATAACTCAAGAATTATCACAAAGAGATTTTTCGCAGTTTAGCCGTACCGTTAAAATGGAGGTCCTTTTAAAGTGGCAACACGTGAAAGCGTTCTCCTGCATGGCCGCTGAGTTTTGACAAGGGGCGAAGCAGGAAGCAAGGCGGAACGTATCTCAGGTTCCTGTCAAAATCCAGTTTATCGGTCAGTTTCCCGAAAAATCTCCTGGGATTCCCCCATTGGTCAGTTCCCAGATTGTTTTACCGTGAATGACAGGGCCCCCGTGACAGCGATTATCAGTTTTCGAGGTAGATTAGACTGGCATCAGCCGGAAAACAGCCAAAGCCTTCACGATTCTAGCGTGTGGAACGAAGTTGTCTGAAGCAGTACGCAGCAACAAACTGAAAATGCTTCGGCGCAGAGTCCTTTCTTGTTTCCGTAAGGACAGCACCGGTCCGATCCAGTACCTCTGATTTGCTGAGCGATAACAAAGCCACTTAACTGATAAGTGTCCAAAACTTTTTTCGTCCTGATGGATTTTTGTGCTCATGCCACTAGACTGATTGGTGTCTACACCGTAAAAACGGTTCCTGGTTTTCCCAGGAACCTCCTGATAATCGCCTATACCTTCACCATTGGCTTCCTGGGAAAACCAGGTTCCGTTTTTACCGTGTAAAACGTGTTTCATTCTGACGGACTTTTGAAGCGCACGCACGTGCCATGGGAACACCCCAATTCGTAGTCTGGTGAGCAGAAGAACGTGTTGTTTCGTCACCATGGCGGTACGAGAATACCAAGAGGCAAGCAACTTCTTCAAAATTTGTACACCGTTCTCTTTCAAATTCACGTCGTTTCATTGTTATTTCAACGTTATTTAGCGTTATTTCACGTTATTTCGCTTTATTTCGCCGTTATTTTAACGTCATATCTAGGAAAATGTACATCAAAATTCAAGTTGTTTGCACCTCTGAGAATACCGAGATTGGCAGGCGCAGATCCAGACAAGGGAAAGTGACTCCAGCCATATTTGGACGCCAATATTCACCAAAAAATTGAAATTGACTTCGATTTGTTCAAGTTCACCGAATTTCTTCTCAAAATTCAGCAGCTTTTGACCAAAATTCATTTGATTTATACACCGAAATTCACAGTGATTTCCCCTTGGATCCAGAGACCCCCCAGGGGGTGATGTCGCAAAAGATGCCCACCCACTGAAGCGAAGTGCGACGTTTTGCCTACTTTTCATGTGGCTTTCAGGTCATGACCCCCCTGATTTCCCAAGCAAAAAAAAAGTTGTTGGGTGTACTATCAATTTGTTGTGAGAACGCACACTTTGCTCTCACGACAAATCATTCGTCAGGAGTGCAAACATTCATTTTAATGACTCCGGACGATATTGTTGATAGTACGCCTAACAACATTTTTTTAGCTATCCCAAATGTCACAACAAAGTCTTTTTTTACGTGCACCTCCCATCCATTGTGATGTGACTGACTTCTGTGCATCTCATTCTAGGACTCCGTGGACCTCTCGCCGTGCGTCGACCCGAACATACCGACGACGGCCGAGACTTCAGTCTCGTCGCAGAAATAGCTGCGCTGCACGCCCTGCCCGTCACCATTGCCCCGTCCTGTGACCGAGCTCGCCACCATGACCGATGTAAGTACTACCTCACTTTATGACAGTTTCAAGGCTCATTTCCCGAGAATCTATTCAAAACTGTAGATGACATCGTTGTCAATTAGTATGGAACAACCTTGTCATAACTTCCAAGTGTACTCTAAATGTCTTACGAAGAAATTTCCCATAATACCAAGGAAGTGGCGCAAGCATAATACGAAGGTGGTTTTTCTTCATGTTACGAATGTTTTTCTCTGTATCTTACAATGAAAAAGCTAAAAAGATTCATATTACGAAGGAATATTGCTTCGTATTATGCTTACGCCGAATCCACTGTAACATACGAATAACATAGGTCAAATTTCATTGTTAGACATTTAGAGGGTGATGACATTGTTAAAGTGATCTAAGTGATCAAAATCGAGGGGTCCTGTTTTAAAGATATTATCTTATGTTCAACGCAAGCGAATTTCATTTAGTTTGACCACACTGTTAAGAGAAGTCGTTGCACATGGTACCGTAATTTTACAAATAATAATTTATAGACCTCTTTGCCGTTCCCACGGTCCCCCTCCCTGGACCGCCGTTGCCTAGCAACGCGAGCCAAACAAATCGCAGGTATGCTGCACACCGGACGGCGCGCGGCGGGTGGGTTTTTCGGCTATATTTCCTAAACCGTTCAAGATAGACGTGTACAGTAAGCGAGCCGATTGTAGATCTCTGCTTAAACTACAATCGGCTCGCTTACACTACCCATCTAGCTTTAACGGTTTACGAGATATGACCAAAAAACGCATCCGTCGTGCGTCGCCTAGCAGGCAGCATACCTGAGATTTGTTTGGCTCGTGTTGCTAGGCGATGGTGGTCCAGGGAGGGGGACCGTGGGAACGGCAAAGAGGTCTATAGTGTCGGGCACTATAAGTGATAAGGACGGGTAAATGACGACAGTGAGTAGAGGTTGATCGCTGTTTATTGGAGAGAACCACTCAGCTCGATACAGGGCTACCGACTGTGGCGGCTCTGAGGAGCGATCCAATTTATAGTTTGGGCAACAGTGACACCTTGCTAGGTGGGTGCATTCAGAAAGCGAGGCAATCAATACTGGAACCTTGGCCAAGGAGGAAGGAGGGGAATCCATATCAGAGTCACGAAGAAGAATAGAAACAAGGTAGGTGTACGCCAGACCGTGTCTTGTCGTAACAGGCTTCGCGATGCTGCGCCAGTTTCGACCATCCACGCCTGGCGTACCTACCTTGGCCTGCGGCGCTAACCTGCCTTCGGCAGGCTGCTTTTCTAGGCAGGCCGTGGAAATGGGCGTGATCCCCTCAAAAATAACATTTGGTCATCAAAATCTACACCAATCGGATTCAACTTTCGGTCGGGGGTCCGAACGGGTTCTATTTTCGTCATCAGCAGCCTCAAAAACATATGAAAGGATATGATACTTGACACAAAGTTGAAAGTACCCAAAAAGTTGTATTTTTTCTGCCGTTTTTTAAGTGTTTTTTGGCTAATATGACCGAATGGATTGAGATAGAAAGCTGAATTTTGGTGTGTGGCGAGCCAAGGATATATCTAATGACCCTGCAAAATCTCAGCCAGATCGGCCGAGCCGTTCAGGAGGAGTAGTGCACACACACACACACGCAGACAGACAGACAGACAGACAAAACTTTTCAACCCCACTGGAGTAACGGGCTTCGCTATCGCTCAGCCAATCAGAACTGACACATGTTGCTTTTCAGTACGCATTGTAAATCGCTACAAATTCATAAAGTAACGACAAGATTCATGAAATTCACAGACATTTATCTTTTGACGAACTTAACTCATAATTTTAGGAATAAATTAGTAAGTTTACAATGAAATCTTAATGTAACAAGTGAAAGATTGTAATTTTCCTTATATAATCGTTTTTTTACTAGTCTCGTTTCGCTATGTGTAAACTTGTTTTCTTAGGACTCATGCTTACTTTGATGCTGTGAAGTCTGTAGCACGAAGTGGGTGTTCATTTACAAAGTAAATTGTAAATGGACATAGATTGTTTATCATTTTTCAAACTGCTTCTTAAATTGCTTCTAAATTCTTAAATCGGCAATTGTCAATTATAATTGTGAAAGCAAGGCTGAAAAGTTGTGTTTTCGTCCTTTTCTTCCTTTGTGTAAATTTACAAAAACAAGATGGATAATGAGATCGTTTTAGAAATTTTACAATCACTTCGTGGTTCGGATTTAAAGAAAAAAAAAACGGAACAAATTTCTTCAAAACTTGGTCGAAGATTTCCGGACGGTTTAGGGTAGTGGGCAAATACATTCTAATTGCTTTCATACCCATCTTGAAGTTCATTAATAGGGCCGAAAATACGTCGATTTTTTTGTGAAAAATTGTCATATTTCATTAATGTACAAAAACTAGGTAATGAATTTTAGTGAAAAATTGTCATATTTCATGAATGTACAAAAACTTGGTAATGAATTTTGATCAATTTTTCGTTACCTCCTCATGCCTTCTCTACTCACTTAAACATTACGGAGAAATCTGTTTAATCTTGTGATTGATCCGTACCCAGAATTCAACATTTCCCGTAGGCTTCTCGTCAGTCTTCTGTATGCACACTGTTAATGTCTTACGGTGAAAGGCTGCACCAACATATTATGGTGGAGTTATTCTCCGTAATACCAACGAAATTCGTTAAAATATCTATAAGGTACAGTGAATTCTGAATCGCATGTTACGAAGTAAGCTGCACCACCATAATATGAAACATTTTCATCATAATATGGAGAATCCTTACTGTAGAACATTAAGAGTGCACCTCGTCGGTCTGCAACGGGTATCCATAGAATAATTGTAGTCCTAGGGAGAACACTGCAAGTCCTACGGAAAATGTTGGGTTTGGGCTACGGAAAACAATGGCTAAACTTAACAGATGTTTTTGTAGTATTTTGCCGCAGTGCCTTCACTCGTGTAAATGTTATCACAATGTCAAAAACCTGTCTGAAAACCTGATCAAAATTCGCGTACCTCTGAAAGCTGTAAATATCTCCTGACATTCTGTAGAACTTACACCATCAATATCAGAGTAAGTTTTCAGAATTTCAGCTTTCAGAGGTGCGCGAATTTTGATCAGGATTTCAGACATGTTTCTGACATTCTGACAAAATTTACACGAGTGTTACTGACTCCCTGCACTATACCCTTTACTAATTTGAGCTGCGTTGGGCAGTCTGAAAACATCTTACGTTTGTTGGGCTACTCCCCATGCTTATGTTCTAATCCGACGGTGGTTGTGCCCACAGCTGCTGGCCCTGCCCGACGACGCGTTGGTGCGCGTGTTGGCCCTCCTGCCGCCCAGACAGCTCTTCAGCCTCCGATTGATGTGTCGGCGGCTCCGGGACCTTTGCCTCCACCCAAACGCTTGGCGCTCCATTCGACTCCGTGGCTATCCCAAAGGCCTTCTGAAAGCCACGCTGAGACTTGCCCCCTGCCTCCACAAAATCCGTCTGCCCTCGTCGAATCTTCAGGCTGCGGCCTGTGCCATTTCCAACACCAAGTGCGTCGTCACTAAACTCGAGCTCGCCGTTCAAACTGAGTTCGAAGTTGCCTGGGCCACCGCCATAGTTCTGAAGTTCTCCGCTCTGGGCGGTTTGAGGAAGATCTCCCTAGAGCTGTTCCCTGGCGCCCCCGATGCTTTGCCTCCCCTTCTGCGGATGGTTTACAGCGTTCAAGACCTGCGCGTGTTGTATGTGTGGGACTACTCAGACGCAGAGCTACCGCCATCTGTATGGTCAGATCTGGAGCCGAGACCTTCCCTAACTAAGCTTAAGTACGAAGGTGCCCCTTTCTCTTTCCTCTGCCTGTTACTGGAGACCCACGCGGCAACACTGGAAGAGATCGTTCTGTTCGTGGATGAGCTCCCCACATCTCGCTTGGGAATGATGCCTCGGTTACGCTCCCTGGCTTGTCGCCCATCCGATGACCTGTCTCAGCTGAAAAGTTTATCCAGCCTGGAAACACTTGAGCTGTATGTGTTTTCAGAGGAAAACGTATGTTTTCCTGGTGCGGAGGAGTTCCTCCTACAGGGCCCGAGCTTGCGATCTGTGTCATTCGTCTCCTATTCCTCCTGCCGGGTTCCCAGCTCTTCTCTTCTGTGGGCTTTGGCCAAATCGCCGTCCGCACCCGTTCTGGAAAGGCTGTCCTTATGTGGTGTGGAGGACGTGCTTGTGGCCGCGGCAATCCCACGGTTCTCATCCCTGCAAGCACTCACCCTTGAATTGGACGCCGTGCCCTCGGACGATTTCTTCCGGGCAGTGAGCCCCGCCTCCACACCGCACCTTGCCACGCTGGAACTTTGGCCCCACGGCTGCCCCCACGCCATGCTGCACGACCCGGCCGTGCAGGACGTCCTCGTAAAGAATGCTGGGCTCCACCTGCGCCTGTTGCACACTCCGTCCCTCAAGGACGACTGTGCCTGTCGGTGGTGCATCTGGCGCTGCCACCAGCACGAGCTCCGGACGCACGGCGGCCTGCGGTCCGCCTTCTCGGCGCACAGGAGGCGGCCCGGCTGCCCCAGGGACTGCCGAAGATGGCCCTGACGGGCCTCGCCCATCCCATTGTGTGGTATGTTCACACTAAATGTCATGGGACTCTTTTGTCCCACGATTCATGCAATTCTGAGCACATCCGACGCTGATGCTATTTTGTTCCCGTCTAGCGACACAGTTTGTCCGACGCCCGCTGCAAATTGTACTTTCAATAGACAATTTGTCCCGCCTGGCGGACACAAAATTGCATCACCACGGGATGTGCTTAAAATTGCAACATTCATGGGACAAAAAAAGTCCCATGACATTTAGTGCGTTGAAGCAAGAACTTTCTCCACGATTCATTTAGCCTTAATATTAATTTTATTCTAAATTTAATTTTAAGTTAATTATCTTTTTCACGATTTTGTTTTTGACAGGAGCTGAAACGGGTGCCGCAATGCATATAATACTACCAGTCACTGCCAAAAAAGCTAATCTTTGCTTTTTTCGTCTCTTTGGACTTTAAGCTCATGGTCTTTTGTTTGTTCTCTAAATCTTTGTTCGCAATATTTGTAGTTAGATGTAACTTGAAATACATGCTCCTTGTTTATTAGTGAAAGACCTTACAGGATCTGGATTTTTTCCCTTTCATTTGCTGTTTCCTCCACTGATGACACGGACAGGAAGGCATAGAAATCATGCTCTTAGAACGGAGGGCCTCACGCACCTGGAAAGGCCTGAATCGTTTTATGCCCCTGGCAGCGGCGTGAATTGAGGACTAACTGGCCAAAATTTTAATGCCCTTCGAAAGACGTGGAAAACTGGGCCAAAGGGAGAGTTGGGCGATTCGTAACACAAGCGTTCATTAATTCAAGCGGAGGGTGCAGAGGAAAACCTGAGAATGTCCTTTCTTTCGCTAGAGAGGGTCCTTGAACAATCGAAGCGGATGTGATCGGTGCTCAGATAAAGTTTTGGAGGGGGTCTGAAATGGTACACCGACAACAGGCAAATCATAGATTTTGAGTTCTGGGAAGTTTTAACTCTAAAAAGCCTACGAAGGATTTGCTTCATAACTACGAAGATAACAGGAAAAGTAGCGAGATAGATCGGCAACTTTGGCCCGTCTCGTACATCTAGAAATGTTCCAATTTCGCCCATGTTTAACCCTAACGGGATTGGAGTTTAGGGTCAAAAAAGATGTCATTTTTGTCATCAGCGCCCTAAAAAACATAAGAAACAATGCAAAAACTTCAATAAAAAGAATATTCAAAATATACCCCACTGGAATTTGAACCCGGGTCCAAGCTTCTCCGATTCGCTTGAAACTGGCCCTGTTTTTATTATTATTATTTTTATTTTCTTTTGTAGTGGTAGCATGGTTTTATTTTGCTCTACTGTGGTACAATGCAGTTGCATTGTTCTATGTAAAGGCTTGAGTATGTTGTGAGCAGAGTAAGACAGGTGGCAGCAGCACTGCCTGACACTGTCGAGAGTATCGACTACACACTAAATGTCATGGGACTTTTTTTGTCCCACGGTTTATGCAATTTTAAGCACATCCGACGCTGATACAATTTTGTTCCCGTCTGGTGACACATTTTGTCCGGCGCCAGCTGCAACTTGTACTTTCACTAGACAATTTGTCGCGCCTGGCGGACACAAAATTGCATCACCACCGGATGTGCTTAAAATTGCATAAACCGTGGGACAAAAAAAGTCCCATGACATTTAGTGTGTAGGCGTGATCGACTTCGGCATCGAGACCTCTCCAGCACATCCGACTCTGGATAATAAAGTATTCATTCTTGACCTGACTTCTGACTCGTTTATATCCCCTAGTCCCGGAATAGATTACAACATGGCGCAGTCGAAACGGAATTGATTTTGGACTACGGAACGGAGGACATCAAAGTGATTGAAGAGTGAAAAGTGGATTAAGAAGTGCGAACACAGCTGCTTGGGAAAACCATCATTCCATCACCGGAAGGAAGACGACCTTGACCCACATCTCGCCGAGTGAGTGAACTTGACCTAGTGACGCTCCCTGTAAAACGTGGTGGAAGCATGGCGGAAGCTGGGGCAGTGACCCGGCCGGGACCCGTGAACATGAAGACGGGCAACATCCATCGATCCTGGGAGGAGTTTAACAGAAGTTTAACTTTTTCCTCAAGGGACTTGGGATGACAAAATTCAGCTCGGATGTCAAGTTTGGACTCCTGATGGGCGAGGCCGGGCCTGATGCGCTCGATGTGTACAACTCCTTTCGGCTGAAGCTGATCAAAAAGAAAAAGGGGGAAAATGGCGAGGAAGTCATTGAGTCTGATAAGTCTGAAGACTATGAAACTGTTGTTAAAAACTTTGACAACTATGCCATAGCAAAGAAAAGCCTCACAGGGTGCAGAGAAGGATTCAACAACAGGAACCAGAAGAATGGTGAAAACTTCAATCAATGGTTGACAGACTTGCGCAACCTGATCAAGAATTGTGAGTACGGGGAAATTGAGGTTGGAATGCTATCCTAAGATAGCAGAGGACGAAGGAGAAACCGAAGTTTATCCTGAAAATTCCGAGATGTCAGAAGAACTAATACAAAATGTTCCACTGTCCCCAGGCGCTGAGCAGCGAGCCGACCCTGAGCCAGAAGAGCCAGCCCAAGACGTCGACCCATTGGCTGCATCACCTGGAAACCTGCAGCAAGGGAGGTCCAGGTTTGGGCGACGTCTAAGGCGCTCCACCAAGTACAATGAAGAAGACTACGTTCTTCTTGTCAACAGCTTTGACTGAAATATGTTTATTTTTTATAAAAATCACTGTTAAAAAAATCAGTTGTAATTTTCATAACATTGGTTGGCATTTTTTTTCACAAACAATTGTTATGAAAATTAAAATCACAAATGATTGTAAATTGTTTTACAATCACGTTATGAAAATTCATATCATGTTATGAAAATTCATATTCGCGTTTGCGAGGTCATTTTAGAGCAGTTAAGCAAAAGGACAACTAAGTGTTCATGTATATGAACACCCAAGCGGCCTTATGACATTTATTGAACCGAATCTGCTTTTGATCAGCGGGTTTCGAACCCGGGATCTTTGACTTGTGGTGCACGCTCTTTACCGCTGTGCTACCACGTCCCACGGGAGGCGGAGGGTCAGCTACTGATGACTCTACCAGCGCCCCTTGGCCACGCCTCTTGAGCTAGTTATGAAATTTACAATCGGATTCGGAAAATTACTATTGTGTGCTCAAAATCAACATTTAAGATTCGCAATTTTTAGAACATGGTTTTAAAATTACCAACAATTGTCAATTTTACGAAATTGTTTCGAATTTTCGCATCAAGTTATGAAAATTGCAATGTTTGTAAAATTCACATCCGTATTTGTAAAATTGTCATCAAAATTGCGTTGAAAATTCGTAACTTTTTTAACAGTGATGGTACAATCACAAAGATTTCGTACTTCTAGTCTAAAGTGAGACTGAATGTTGTTTGATTTGTTTTGATGACGTCACTGCTTACTCCTGGATTATTGCAAACTGAATATGAATAAAGAATTGCATTACTGCTACCAACGCAAGAAATTTATTTTCCGTTCCCCTACTGAAGGAAGGATATGTTGTGAGCAGAGTAAGACAGGTGCCTGACACTGTCGAGAGTATCGACTAGGCGTGATCGACTTCGGCATCGAGACCTCTCCAGCACACCCGACTCTGGATAATAAAGTATTCATTCTTGACCTGACTTCTGACTCGTTCATATCCACAACAGAGTATACCTCCAGCTTTGAATTTCCTTAAGGGTAAGGATAAAGCTCATAAGTCCGAAGCTCTAAACGCTATGTTTATTAAGCGAACAAGAGAGGGTTTACATTTCACACTGTTTCGTTTGATGTTAACCGCATCGCAACGGAGACTTCTTTGAAGTCAGGAAGCACTTTGCGAGAACTGAAGTCACCCACAAAATACGGCGTTGCATGCTGGAATCGGCGAACCTGGAGGAAGGAAAATTGAGACGTTAGAAACTCGGGTTTTGAGAGTGCGTCCCCCTCCCTGTCATTCAAACCGCAATAACCCCTGTCTACATTTTGCATTAATAAAGGCACTCAGTGGTTAGCACTAAATAGTGTGAGAATATCTCACACTTGAATTTGGAGTGCGAAGCGTGTGCTTATTGGAAAGTAATGCAAGAACTTTATCGCATTCCTGGGTGCGATTGCGATATATCGGGAGAATCGCAAACTCTGTTTCATAGCAAAACTTTGAAGTACAAGTATCACAAAATGAATGAGTGCGACGACACACAGGGAAACTTACCGCTTTATTATCGCCAGAGTGGCTTCGGCCTCGCGGGATTTTCGACAGAGTCGCCCCTGGTCGGTCCAGGGCTGAGGGGAGATGGTGGTCCCTCTGGACTCTCAGCTTCTTTCCCGGTCGAAATGCTGAGCGTAAGCGGCTGAAATCACGTTACAAAGTCAAGGTAAGTACAGACGTAAAAACTTTCGAAATATTTTGAGCATACATAGAACAAACTAATTTACTTTATACAAAGAGACAGTTCGTAAATTACGAAGTATTTTCTTTGAAAGCGTATGTATGCTCAAAATACTTTCACGGTAAAAACGGAACCTGGTTTTCCCAGGAAGCCTATAGCAGAGACAGGGGTGGTTTCCAGGGAGTTCCTGGGAAAACCAGGAACCGTTTTTACCGTGTTGTTATACCAAGCTGCCTTTCTTTGTAAGGCCTCGAATGGTTTGTTAGGTTTTTAGAGTGTACCTTGTCGTAGCTGGGGGACTGTGGTGCGGGGCCGTTGTAGGTAGAGGGAGCGTACATGCTCTCCAGGGGCTTCAGTCCCGTCATGTCTTGGGCCTTGTAGCTTTCGCTGGCACCAGGCACTGTGTTGGTTGGCATGCCGCTGGCGGCGCCGTAGTACTGCGCTGATGTGGTGGTCGGGCCGGAGGTTGGCGAGATCGACGAAGTCGGGGCGGAGCCACTCGCTCCAAACGAGGCGTAGGACGAAGTCGGGGTAGAGCTGCTCGCTCCAAAGGTCGTGAAGGTGGAAGTGGGGCCAGAGCCACTCGCTCCAAAGGAAGTGTACGGGTACTGAGACGTGGCCGGAACGATGGGGACGGGTGCTGCATCAGGCGACGAAGCTGAGCGGAGAACACAATGTAACCACAGGATGATGTGATCCCGGTAAGAATATCAATATCCTTATACATGTGAAGAAACGCCGATACGTTTTAGGTGCCAATAGCACTTTCTACACCTCTTTCTGAGTTTGTCTCTAGCAAGTCATACAAGGCGGCCGAAAAAAAGACCCACGGCGCCCTTTCCCCGTAACGGTAAACTTCGGAGAAGACATGGAACGGAAGTAGAGAAGAGATCGAATAGAACAAACTTTGCGACATGCATGGGAATGAGCATCTGCGTCGCCGTTCTGCCGCTTCCACAGAGTTACATACTCCTTTTAGTTCTTCCTGATATTTTTCCAACTTCCGTTCCAGCTCTCCATAATTCGCTACTCATGGACGTACCTGTGAAAATTTGCTGTCACTTTATGACAAAATCGTGGACGATATTTTCATCACTTTCAAACGATGACCATTCCATCACAAATTGCTGGCATTTTCATGAAAGCTCTTATACTTTGCATGGGCGTGACAACAATGTCATCAATTGGTATTGATGACATTGTTGAAAGGAAAATTAGCCTTAGCCTTGAAATTGTCAACATGTGACGACTCAAATTTCCACAGAGTAAGTACACTGACAATGAAAGAGTTTTGATCATAACCAAATTTTAAACGAGGTACTACTTTGTCACCCGGATTTGGGCGAGAAGCATTTTATCGCCCATAATTGGTTGAAAAAACCCTCCTCACACAGATACGGGCACCAAAATGAGTGAGGAAATGAAAACTTACGCGGGAGGTCAACACGGCGACCCTGGCTGTCCAGGATGTACGACGTACGGGTCGCAGGATCTACGTACACACGCAGGAGTGCGCTCTGCGACAGCGTGTATCCGATCAAGTCCGCCGCGGACGGGGCAGGTTGGGTTGGGGAGTAGGTGGTCGGCTGAGCTGAGTAGATGGTCGGTTGAGCTGGGGAGTAGGTGGTCGGTTGAGCTGGGGAGTAGGTGGTCGGTTGAGCTGAGGAGTAGGTGGTCGGCTGTGCTGGAGAGTAGGCGGTCAGCTTGGCAGGCTGGTCATCAACGGCGTTGCTTGCAACCTTGCAAAAGACAAAATCACGGGCACCCTTAATATTTCTGTGCAAATTTTTTACGAGACGTCACAGTTTTTGTGCAGATGAACTTTTCGTATACACGCATTTGTTCGCGATTTGGTACAAATTCTCTCATTCTAGGAACGTGACATCACGTTGGAATGAATGTGACAAAATGTCACGTTCGTCTCTGACCATTGTGTCCCACTAGTTTGGACGTGAATCAGCCATAAATAAACTTATTCACGTTGAAACGAATATGACGCAATGCTCGAAGGAACGAGACATTTTTTCACATTAGTTTCAACGTGATGTCACGTTCCTGGAATAAGAGTGAAAATGCAGTGAAAGTTCCTTTTTTTTTTCGTACGACATTTGTTCGAAAAGTTCATCTCCACAACACTGTGACATCTCGTACAAAATTTTTCCTAACATTTGGTGTGGATGGCACAGGAACACGCATTTCAAGCGACTCAGGAGCGCACAGAGGTAAAGTTTTCTTCGAAGACCTGCGCATTTGTAAGTGTACTAGATAGGACTTGGACTTACCCAGTGTGTGTGTGTCAGAGTGCACTCTAAATATCTTACGGTAAAAGGCTGCATCACCCGAGGCACTACCAAAATGGAGAATTTTCACCATAATATAGAGAATCTTTAGTACAGAACCTTCAGAGCGTGTGCACCCTTAAAACCTTACGAAGTACTTTGAGCATACACACTACAAACTAATTTACTTCACGAGCACTGCTGAAAAAAACATCACCTAGTGGACACAAAATTGTCTCGCGAATGTACTTAAAATTGCATCATTCACGGGACATATAAGGGCACCCACGACATTAAGTGTGTGTTTATTTCACTTAGCTGCCAGTTGACTGTGTGTTCACCTCACTTGGCTGCCAGTTGACTGTGTGTTTACCTCACTTGGCTGCCAGCTGCCTGCGTGTTTACCTCACTTTGCTGCCTGTTGACTGTGTGTTTACCTCACGTCGCTACCAGTTGCCTGTGCTCTGTTGTTCAAATTGCGATAACCACCGTATATATTTTGCAATAAAAAACTTATCACATTTTTTTTTGCTTTAATGACAACTAAATATCTGCAATAAAAAATTTATAGCTAAATTTTGCAATAAAGTATCACATTTTTGCGATAATGACTACAAAGAAAATGCAATAAAAAGTTATCGCAGAAAAAAATGTGATAAAAGTTACTACAAAACGCTCTATTATCGCAAAAATTATGGGGTGGTTATTGCAAAAAAAGTGTAATAACAAAATTATCGCACTCCAGGATGCGATAAATCGTGGGAATCGCAAACTCGGTTTTATCGCAAAAATTTGTAGTAAAAGTATCGCAAAATGAATGACAGTGTGTTTACCTCTGTTGGCTGCCAGTTGACTGGAGCGGCGACGCCGTCGAACTGCAGCTTGAAGGTGTTGCTGGCGGACGCCAGAGGGATGGACGCTTGCCCCGCCTTGGCGTCGTTGTAGAACACCATCTGGACGGGGCCGCTCGGGTACTGGGCAGGGTGCTGCCAGGAGTAGTCGTACACTCGGCGCGTCACGGTCACCCTGGGGTTGGACACGGTCAGCTTGACGATCCGCTGGCCGGAGGGGAGGAGTGTGGGCTGAGACGCGCCGCTCCCACTCAGGTACACGGAGGTGGTCGGGTTGGGCGTGCCGGCCGAGTAGACAGTGGGTGCTGCGTCTGGGCTGCGCAGTAAAACGGGGATCCTTCGCTTACCCAGTAAGGGTCCTTAGCGTACCTTCATTGTAAAGTGAAAAAAGTGGCTATTTGACATTTTATACTTGTATCAGATGTCTCAATTTATGGGTAAAAGTTCCTTTCTAGTGCATAAGCTGATACACTATGACCTGGGCCGCGACCAGGGCCCCAACTCCTGTTAGTTTCTGAGGTATGGAGGTTTATGTAAACTTTTAGTCGTTTCCCAAATTCTCCTCACGACAAAGGATTAGCTATCCAGTCTTGCATTCTGGTATCTATTTTTGAATAGAAAAAAGAAAGCGTTACCCTTTATTTAATATCTGCCTTAGTTTTCCCTTAAAAACCAAAAACAAGACCAAAATAGGGGCAAAAATATCTCAAATTTGAAGAGAAATAAAACAAGGCCTGGTAAAATAGCCTTTATAGCCTCTTCTGGACTGATATTTTCAAATCTGCCAACGCTATCTTTTCCTTATGCAAAAACAGCTATAATTGCCAGAATCTGAAGACTGGGTAGCTAATCCTTTGTCGTGAGGAGAATTTGGGAGAAATGACTAAAAGTTTACGTAAACCTCCATAACTCAGAAACAAAAAGGCGTTGGGGCTCCCAACTTTTGAAATAGGCCGATATTATATACACGCAGCGTGTACGCAACAATGGTAAAAATTATTAAACGCCGCGTGGCAATAATATATACATTAGAACAACACAGCAGCGTGTCTGAAATCACAAAAGTATTATGTACACGCCGGAAGGGCCTTTCCACGCCGGAAAGGCTTTTCCAGCGTGTACATAATAAAAGCAGCTGTTTCCATCACGCAGCGTGTCTGCAAGCGCTCTTAAATTATTTGCACGCTGGAAAATCTCTTCCAACGCTGGAAAAGCTTTTCCGGTGTGTCAATAATAAAGGAGGGTGTTATTTTTACGCAGCGTGTTTGCAACTCCCTATATTATTATTTGCACTCCTGTTTGAGGCCAGCCAGGAGATAGAGATGCCTAGGAGGAAGCCGACTGGGTGTGTCGCCTCGTGGTCCAGTGGATACGTGCCTGCATGCCACTCTTTTGGCAAGAGTTCGAAACTTGGAGAATTTTTCAAAAGATGCGTGCACATAATTTTTCGGCATTCAAGGGACACGCGGCGTATGAATAATAGATCGTCGGTTGTGCAGACGCTGCGTGTCGCGTGTCGCCGAAAAATTATGTGCACGCATCCTTTGAAAAAATTATCCAAGTTTCGAACCCGGGCCAAAAAAGTGGCATGCAGGCACGCACCCACTCGACCACGAGGCGACACACCCGGTCGGCTTCCTCCTAGGCATCTCTATCTCCTAGCTGGCCTCAAAACAAGAGTGCAAATAATAAATAGGGAGTTGCAAACACGCTGCGTAAAAATAACACACTCCTTTATTATACACACGCCGGAAAAGCTTTTCCAGCGTGCAAATAATTTTAGGGGGCTTGCAGACACGCTGCGTGCAAAAAACGGCTGTTTTTATTATATACACGCTGGAAAAGCTTTCCTGCGTGTATATAATGAAAATGGCGTTATTTGCACGCCGCGTGTATTTAAGTTGCTTTTTTTTATATAAACGCTGCGTGTCTATAATCACTTCGTTTGAAATAAATTCATCTAATAGTGTTTAAATTTTGACCACAAAGTGAACATTCTGTGATTAGTATTTTCAGGACATGCAAGTTTCACTTTACTGTATCCTTTTAAGTTTCCAACTCGTAACTTTTGGCGCTTTTTGAAGCAGCAAGGTATTCCGAAATTTCGATTTACTTTGTGCCAGCCGTGACCGAGACGGTCGGTTGGTCGGCAGCGGGAGCGGAAGATGTACTCGGTGCGGGTTCCGAAAGTGGTTCGAGTCCGCGCTCCGCGGTGGACGACGCAGCGGGTCCGGGGGTCAAGTCAGTGCCCACGGCAGGCTCGGGAAGCGCAGTTGGCTGAGTCGCAGCTGCGGGTTCAGGAGCGGCAGAGGGGGCTGGTTCAGGAGCGGGAGCGGGCTCAGGAGCCGGGACAGGGGCGACATATGTTGACGGCCTGTCGACGGTGTCTGCCTGCACGGAGGCATCGGAGCCGTAGGTAGTCGCAGGCGGATCGGACACAGGGCCTGCCGCCGGGGCAGCGCTGGTGACGACAGGCGCTGCCACGTTCGCGCCGCCAGCCACGGGCGGAACGCTCAACTGGCCGCCCGGCGCGGCGTACACGGAGGCACCAGCACTCGCAGCGGGCAAGTACTGCACCTGCTCCCCCAGGATGGCATCTGCGGGGAAAGAAAGAGACAACTGGTTGTAAACAGATTCGGAATTACCGCGGCATTTAAAGTGCATCTTACCCGGTGTCTATATCACTTGCGCAATGAAAACAGGCGCCTAGTGACACTATTCTGACCATGACCGAGGGGGTCCACCACTCAGCTTAGGAGCGTACACAGCACCGATTACCAGTGATATCCTACGAAAATACTCCAAAATCCTAATAATTTCGGCCAGCTAAGAGCCTTATTGCCCTCTTTTCCTCAGGATAAAAACAAAAATCCGAGCGAAAATAGCCAGTTTTGGCGTGTGATTACTAATAATTACTGAACGAAGTGTACACACAATTACCAGAGTAGCGGACCCCTCGATCGTGACACTCTAAAAGTTTAAGGAAGAAAAAGCACTGTCATTCATTTTGCGATACTTTGACAACAAATTTTGGCGATAAAACCGAGTTTATGATTCCCTACGGTTCATTCCACCCTTGAGTGCAATGATTCAGTTATTGCATTATTTTGCAATTATTTTGCGGCCCCCTAAGTTTTTCTGAGAAATAGCATTTTGTCGAACTTTTATCACAAATTTGCCGGAACTTTTTGTGGCTTTTCTTTTCGTAGGCACAGCAAATGGTTCTCTGATCTTTTGACAAATGATCAGAAAATCCTAACGAAATTTACTGCTGTGCCAGACCTTATTTTAGATTGATTGAACCAATAATTAGTCGTGCCGAGATCTCGCACCGTGACATCTTTTTTTTTCGTACTTACAGGGCAGGCCATTGATGTAGATAACGCGCTGACCCGGCGACACATAGTAGCTCTGCGCGGGCCACTGCACCGTCGGCAGTCCCACGGTCTGGCCAGGCACTTGGCGGTACTTGGCGAAGGTGGCGTTCGCGACGGCGCACGCGGCCGCCGCCAGCAACAGAGTGTACAGGAACCGCCGCATCTGCAAAGCCAGTCAATTTCGTCTGTCTCTCTCGCACCTATACGGGACGCCTGATGATTGCGAAAGAGACTCTCGGAAGTAGCCTCACGTTGTCTGATTCCGGAACCGAAGCTTCGTCACCCTGTCTCCCTCGTACGGCACTGCAGGATAAAGCCACATCAAAAGTACACAAATTCCTGGCAAATTTTTTATCAGGAATTTATCGTACTTTTCAAGTACAACAATTGTTGTACAAAGTACAATGGAACCAGCATGAAGAGTGCTGGGCAGTACAGGCCTCGTTGTGGTTTGTACAATTCTCGTTGTACTTTATACAATCCCCATTGTACTTTTATTGTAGAGTTTTTGTTGTACTTTTGTTGTACTATTCACACTTTTTCTTGCAGTGCGGTATGGAACACCTCGAGGGTGCACTGGTAAAACTAAAGCGTAACTCTATGCTTGAGTCAAGCATAAAGTTACGCTTGAAGACGTTACGCTTGAAATCAAGCATAGGCTAGAAATTCCCCCATGCATTTAGATAGGGGAAATCTTGGCGGACGAGCCTGTTACGCTTGATTTCAAGCGTAAACTGATTACGCTTGAAAACGGTGGGTAATACTACGCTTTAGTTTTACCAGTGTGTGACTGAGACGGAGCGACAAAATCGCTGTTCGGAGCCAGCCTGCACGCGAGCGTTTCTTTATCGAGGGGTGGAAGGTCGCGGACTGCAAGGCACTCATTTCGCGCCCAAATAGAGCCTACAGGTTGCCTACCCAAACCCTCGTAAGGCGCCATGTTAATTTCAAACCTTTATAACTTTTTTCCTAAGGGACCGATCGATTGCCTCCCGATCGGAAATTGATCCTTAGGCACCCAACTACAAGTGTGCAAAGTGTCATGCTTTTAACCAAAAGTGCAGTGGATCGATGCTTTATGTCCCCAAGGGGACCCACTAACAGTGGGCCAGACGACCGGCGCAGGCGGTCAAAACTCGACGCGTGTTGTGTCCCAGACTCTGGAGCTCAAAACGAATCTACAATTTTGGCCCTTCCACCGGTCCTCTTGCCCGCTGTGGCACTCTGGCATCAGCAGAACATCGCAGCAAGTCGCCACAGAAAGGCGCGTGAATACAGCTGGGAAACATAGAACACACCAAATACATATGGACTATAACTGAGGCCTATTTTCGTGCGTACTGAAGCCATGTACAAATTTGTACATAGATTAGTTACAATTTTCCAAATACTTAAGCACGGTATGGAAATATTGTCCCTGATTTAAGAAAAAATCAGGGATCCTTAACTTACCTCATAAGGGCATCATAACGTTATCGTAAGAGTTTAAGTTATAACCCTTAACTTCTGACATCTTTTCAACAAGGTTAAGTTATTTTTTTGTGTTTCGAATTTGTGTCGAGATACTTTTGGAAGTACTTCCAAAAGTCCGTACCCTTAACCTTTAGCGAACATTATCTTATGTTACGTTATGAAAGCAGTGTTAGTTAAACGTTAAGTTAAGTTAAGGATCCCTGGAAAAAAATTGTACATAACTTCCGTGTGCACTAAAACAGCAATAGCTATGGACAATAATAGAACGTAGGCTACGAGGCGCATGTTTGATTTCGTGCATTGGTGCGCAGAAAAACGTACAGAGTAATTTAGTGTAACAATTTCACCATGAATGTTCTGCAGACACGAATGTAAAAGTAATTGCTTAGACACCTGTCACTTACAGAAAATATTCGGCTTTGAATCGTAACAGATTTTGAGTTCCATTCAAAATTTCACAGAACAAAAGCTAGAGAAATAGACTTACGCCTTCAGATGCAACAGGCCCGCAGCGAAGGATCATGCACACTGAGAACATCCCACGGCCACAGGCCCGTTGCAATCAATGCGAGGTCAGTCGTTTCATATCTTCGTATGCTGACGTGCAATTCGAGTTCAGCCTGCACAAAAAGCGCGGCTGTAAGGATATTTGGCATTCAGAGCGGGTCCAGCCCGAATCAGCCCGGCTTCACCCGAAACCCTCCCAATTTCGTCCGAAACTGTCTATTTCGTTGTTCTTTTGATGTTCCTTGTCCGACAAATTCACCGCTGCGCTGAGCATTTATACTTGTCTGAGGGTCTTACCTGGAAGAGCAGAAAAATATCTGAGGTGGTAAGATCAAAGTTTGACTCAAAAAAGCGCAACTTGAACAAAAAGAAACTTTTTCGTAAGCTTTCGCAGTGAAACACTTTTGAGTGAAAAGTAGGCTCACAATGCAGAAGTTTACGAAAAAGTTCCATGTTATAGTTGAGCTTCTTGCAAGTATACAGGCGGCAGCGCGCGGAACCACTAGAAAGCTGTTGACTAGCATACGCCGAGGGCCCCGCAAACCAACTATCACCGCCGCCTGGTGGGATGCCTAAAGCCCGGGGGTTTCGAGGCTGCTCGGTCGGCGCGCTGCCCGAACTCGGCTCATTCGACACTTTTTTAGCGAACCGATTATTGGCTAATTTTCATTTTGTAGCACGTTCCAACTACGGTGTGTGTCGACGAGTGTGACGTCACGTTCTTTGAAACCGGGATGTGATTCGTGTCGCGGAGGGGACTCCGTGGTTTTGTGTACGGAAAGACGATGTGCAATAAATTATCAATTATCAAATTATCTAAAGACTTTCCGTAGTTTTTTCTCGCAGAGTGCCACTACTTCGTAAACAAAATGACAGCGTCGCTGCCAATTGTTTGCGAAGTGGTGGCAGCAGTGCACCGAGTTGCCAGAAAATTTTGAAAAAATATCCCAAGTAGGTTCAGTGCGGGTCTCCAGCGACATAAAGATTTCGGACTGCGACTCCGTCGACCTGACGAGACTGAAGATTCCGCAAGACATCAATTGGTCTCAATTCCGCAAGCTATCTTTCCAAGTGATCACACTGAGTAGCCCCTGAGAACCTCAGTCCGTTTTCAATTATTTACACACTAAATGTTTATGTACAACTTTGTACATGGTGATGCATAGTTTTAAACTTGTTTACCGTCGTGCATAAAATTTTGCGTGATTTTGCATAAACTTATGCATCTTTCCGCATGATATTATGCAAATTCCACGTATGCACAAAATTGTGCAAGTTGCACGTACAAAATTCTACCTAAACATTAGGGTGGAGTGAAAATCTGGGATCAAATAACAGGAAAAGTAGCGATATACATCGGCAACTTTGGCCCGTCCCGTACATTAACAAATGTGTGAATTTCGCCTTTATTTAGCCCTGATGGGTTTGAACCTGAGTCTGGGGTCAAAATGGATGTTATTTCCGTCATCAGCGCCCTAAAAACATAAGAATCAATGGAAAAACTCGAATAAAAAGAATGTTCAAAATATACCCCACTGGGATTTGAACCCGGGTCCAAACTTCTTCGATTCGCTTGAAATTGGCACCATTGGTTTTGTCTTGTCACCCTGATTCCAAAAATACCCTTACATGCCCTGCTAGCTGTATCCGTTACCGAAATCCTCCTCGACCCCATGTAGACCATGATGCAGCAGCAGCGCCCCGGGGCTCGGATCGGATTTGCTGCCACCGGGCGGTTCTTAGGGTCACCCAAGGAGGCTGCATACCAAATTTGGTCAAGATCGGACCGCGGGAAGTCCTCGGACGGACGGACGGACGGACGGACGGACGGACGAACGAACGGACGCACAGCAAGGATCATACTATATGCCCGTCCCTCCGTCATTTTTTTTACAAAAAATAAACGGGACGGGCCAAAAACTGGTCACGGGCTAAAGTACTTGAAGATATCTCCCGGGGGGGGGGGGGGGGGGGAGTGGGGTCTGTGAGGCAAAATCGACACTTTTTCGCTCATAGCGGCCGACCAGGCATCATATCCAAGACGGCCAAAGTCAGGAAGATGCGGAATTTTATTACGAAGAGAATGGTATATGATTGAAAACTGTAGGACAACATCATACGCTTGGCCTAACACGATTTATAGTGAAAAGCGGTGCATTTTAAGCGAAAATATTAATTAGATCCAGATCAGCCCACAGTGGTCCCAAATCATACCCTCCTGTATAATTCGACAAGACAAGAAGATTTTACTTCAAACATTTTTGTCGGGAACCTATAATTACTGAGATACGGCCTGCTCAAAGTGCAATTTTTGTTGAAATTTCGTTGTTTTTCACTATAAATCGCGTTAGGCCAAGCGTAGGATGTCGTCCTACAGTTTTCAATCATATACCATTCTCTTCGTAATTAAATTCCGCATCTTCGTGACTTTAGCCGTCTTGGATATGATGCCCGGTTCGGCCGCTAGCGAAAAAGTGTCGATTTTGCCTCACAGACCCCACTTTGGACCCCCCCGGGGGGTGGAAGGGGGTCCGATCGGTCAAATTGGGCATTGCAGCCAGTCTTAGGATATCTTCAAGTACTTTAGCCCGTGACCAGTTTTTCGATCCCAGATTTTTACTCCACCCTACTAAACATTAAGTGTGTAACCTGAGTGAAATTCGATTAAGCGCTCAAGATAAGGTTCTTTGTACGGAAACGATCTGCTGAGATCGTTTCTCCGGAAACGGTCAGATGATATCTTTTGAATAGAACCCATCGAGTTCGACTTCGGGCAAAAACACGGTGAAAACGGTTCCTGGTTTTCCCAGGAACTCCTGCAAATCGCCTATGCCTTCACCATTGGCTTCCTGGGAAAACCAGATTCCGTTTTTACCGTGAAGCGTCCGGGTGAGAGGGCCGGTAATCATCTACGTATCGAGTGAACCGCCCGCGGCAGTCGCGTTTCGCAGCAGGTGCCGTTCTCCGAATTTTTCGACCCTAGGACACGCAGCGTTTAGATGGCCGTCTGTTTACACGCCCCCACCCACGCGGCTTCTCTCCTCCCTGCCCCCACCTCAGCCACGCGCCTCGCGGCCGCGGCAGGCTGGCCTAGGCTGGCCGCGCTGCGAGATTGCTTCCGTCTGTCAGTCCGCCACGCGTCGCAGCCTCAGCCATGGCCTCACCCGCCTCGCCCTGCGTCGACTGGGACCTGCCCGCCGTGCCCGGCGCCGACTTCGAGCCTCGCTGGGACAAGGAGTTGACTGGCGTCAGGGCGGACCTCCTCCGGGAGTTCGCGGAGTGGGTGCGAACCGAGGACCTGCCGGAGACGCCGGGTGCGTTAAAAAATGGTTGTACAGAAACAATCAGATGAGTGAAAAATTGGGCAAATGTTTTTCAAAGCGATGTCAAAGCGTTTTTGGGCCCAGGGGCAAACAACTTCGTTTAAAAAAATTTTTAGACCGTT